ATTTCTGATGATTTCTAAAGTGTGATCGAGAAAAAGGCTTTTTTGACGAAGGTCAGAACTCCTGTTATGATGTAGATTTTTGAGGTGCACTCTTGTCATAAATTAATCTATTACTTTTCCTACATTGATATTTTACCAATGTTTTTGTAAACAATTATTTAGGAGTCTTAGACCTTTCCAACGATATGTAGTTTGTCATGATTAGATTAGGATTTAATTGTAATATAGGGAAGTAAACTTAGGCGTCCCACAGAGGGGACGGGTGACAGTTAAAGGGTTAAACAAATACAATTTAAATGCATTTTAGTGCTAAATAAAGCTTGATATAGGCCATATTATATCCTATTTTGACAGTGCAAACTGTTTTTTTTAGACTGCGAGTACAACTGTCTTCATATCTAGCTCTGTCGCCAGCTCAAGCCCCTCTCCGAGCACTCAAAATGTCTTTCCAGAGCCCTCTACAAGCACTCAAAGCTTTATGCCAACCACCACTCCAAGTTCCACTGAAACGTCATCAGTTAACCAATTCATAGGTATTGTTTTGCATTTCGTTATTTGTAATCTTTATCTCTACATCTCTTTACACACGGTACGGTTCAAAAGTTTGAGGACTGTATGGTTTTGTAATGTTTTTGAAAGAAGTCTCTTATGCTGTACAAAAAAGTAGTTAAAACAGTGTTGTAAAAATGTAACTACAATTTAAAACTACCATTTTGTATTTGAATATATTTTGAAATGTGATTTATTCCTGTGATGGCAATGTCACATGATGTATCAGAAATCATTCTAATGTGCTGATTTGGTGCACAAGGAACATTTATTATAATCAACTGTGAAAACTGCTTAATATTTGTGATACATTTTTTAAAGGATTCTTTAATGTATAGAAAGGAACAGCATTTTTGTATTTTTTTTTAATACGATTTTGTAAAAATGTAAAAGACTTTGCTGTTACTTTTGCCTGCTGAATTGAAACGTAAATTTTACTGACCCCAAACTTTTGAATTGGTATTGTACACATTTACAGTATATCACCAACCCAAAATGTATTCAGTGCTTTTTGTTGATCTGTATCTAGTTTGCATGTTAAAATTTAGACTATTCAGTTTGTACATATTATACACACAGAGAATGAGAGAGATATAATGTGTTGGCTTTGATGATTTATCAAAAGCAGATGTGATGGTTTGTTTTCTCGTGCATCTTTGTAGGGATCTATGTATGTTTTGGGATTTTATCAACTCTCATTCTGGTGTGTCTCTTCCTTTTCATCAAGAGGAGGACTAAGCCTTTCAATGAAGGTCAGTCAGAAACAAAAGGAGGCAGGAGATATGAAGGAATTCCTGCAGGTTTTATAAATATTAATGTTTCCTGTTATGACCGACTGATGCTGATCCAACATATTTCAAAATGAAAGACTTTCATCTCAAGAGTTTGGTTCCAAAACGCTATAAATCCATTTAGATTAATTTGAGTAAAAATGTGGTTTCTTTACCAAGAACGTGGCAAGATGAAAATCACTATTTTCTGTTTCAAACTTTCACAAAGCATCTTTAGGTTATAATAACATAAAAAATTCAAATCCAGATTTTGATTTTCAAAGATTTATTAT